CACATGCTGAAAGCTGAGCCTTGCACTTCCTGTGTGTCACTTCCTTGCACTCATGCTGATCAGCTGCTGTGAGCTGTGCTGAAGTCCTTAGACAATCTGAATCACAGGGGCATGCTTGTAGCTGGGGGTACCTGAGAGGTACAGGGGGTTGTGGAGCTTCCTTCTGTTGTAACCCTGCTCTCCTCTCGCAGGGGAAGAGCTGGACAGTGGCATCGGGATGAAGGACACCTCCATGGACTGGTTCAACGAGGAGTAGGTCCTAGAGCTGGCCCTCGCCTCGCTGGCCAGAGCCCCTTCTCAGACCTTCCCCCACCACCCCACCTCCACCCCTCTTCTCCAGAGGCTCCGGCACGCTTGAAACTGCTCGCAAGAACTTGTTTCTCCAAGGCCCACCTGGAAAGGAAGAAAAGCCCCGTTTCCCTCTATTCTGTCCCCCAAGTGCCCATGTGTCTGTGCTGTGTGCGGGAGTTTTTTGGGAGGCTCACTGCCCATTTCCTGGGTGCTACTCTGTGAGCTAGGTGGAGATGCGATTGAGAAACATTGGCCAGAAAGCTCACACAGCCACTTTGAGTCATTACCGTTCACGTGACAGTCTGATCCAGGCTGTTTCCAGGATGTTTTAGAGAAGACATGATTGTTAAGATAACGCACTCGTACCTTTCACTGTTCTTCACACTAGCCTGTGGTTGGGGGTTTTACTACCGCGGTACAGCACGGCACGCAGTGTTTTCACCTTTCTCACTCTTTCAGAAGGGCATGAGCTCCAGGGAGCCTCTTCCCCAGACTGGCAGCAGAAAGACCGCCGTTAGTCTCTTCTGCAGCCAGCAGTCTCGCTGCCTCGGCCTCCGAGAGACACCCCCTCACCCCAGCTCACGTTCGAGTTCATAAGGACTTGACATACTGCATCTCCCAAGGGTGCCTTCCCACTGATCCCTCAGTAATGCTGCACAGCACCTTATGGGGGGGTCTCAGTGTAAAGAGGCTCTGTGACAAAGTGGAGAATAAAAATGGTAAAAACCCAGCCTGCGGTTTTTGATTCCCACATGAAATCTTTATTAGCACACACAAAAAGACAGGCGGGGCAGCTGAATCCCACTCTTCAGGGCGGTCCTGTGTGACTGTTACAATCCGCTTCTCTGGATCCAGTACTTTCGGATCCCCCCAGTTGGGCCTGGTCCCTGGGGCAGGAAATCTCAGGAGTATCCCTGGTGGTCCTCGACACGACCTTCCGCAGCTTCACTAGGAAAGCTGATATTCACAGATGAAACCATTAGTGAAGACTTCAGTTCATCCATCCCTCAAAATAACTTCACACTTCATATTTTTAGACGGGAAGGTCCAACTGCAATGTGACCTCTCGTCAGCAGGTTATCCTAGGAGCCAGTAAACAGATGTTCCCAATCCCAGAGTTCCTCTGTTACAATCCTAATGTATTCCAAACCCAGGGACCCTCTGTACAGTCCTGATGTTCTCAATCCCAGAGAGACTTGCTGTTATAATCCTAATGTATTCCAAACACAGAGATCCTCTATTATATCCCTGATGCTCCCAATCCCAGAGAGACCCTCTGTTTAGCCCTGAC